AAGAGCACACTTAAAAGACTGTCTCTATCTCTCCGTCCCGTTTTTTCAGGAAATATGATCCCGAAGCAGTGTCCCTCTCATCGTTTTTATCAGGATCTTGGGATGCGTATCACTTAGTCGACTATGATCCCCCTCTGCCGTTCACTGCAGGAGATGTCATCGAGTGAGTACATGTTAGAGTGCTTTATTATTTGTAAGATATATTTTGAAATTCTGATAATCTTACCTGGGTGAAAATACACAAAAATGCAGGATAGGCTAAATCTGGATTATTATTCAAGGCAGACCGTAGATATTCTGCCCAATCTCTCAACTTACAGGAAAATATGAATTGAAAAACAAATATGAAGATATAGTGGCTTTAAATAGAAAATGGTCGCTATGTAGCACAAAGAAAGATATGCATTTATCACTGTTTTTTAATTTACTATACATAAAAAGTAACAATCAGAAAGATTGTCCAGTTGTTGAAAAAAAAAGTTGATTATCTTACTGACCTAATAATTGGATACAGCATTTTTAAATGGGAATACTATCATAATCCTAATGTTCATTGTAAGTTTAACTTATTAACTGTGTTTACACATAGATGGCTTTACAAGTGCTCATTCCCCAAGGAGTCAACTATTAGTCGTACATATCTCAGTTGTTTACTCTTTTATTGTTATGAATAGTTTAGTAACATAATTATTGGATGTCAGTAACTTATTAATAGTATGGATATGAATAGCATCAGAAAACAAACTTTTACCCCAAAAAATTCAATAGGGAAATTAGGTGCGGTCACTCAGAAACTTTGTAGAGGAACATATAATAAGGACCATGGGATGATGGAATAGGGATGAGAACTTGTGGAGCCATCTGTGAAAAAAAAAAAAAAAGTTAGAATGTAATATATATATGCTTTTATGGGGAGGAAGAATTGTGAATCAAACATATTTCCAGGGCCATGGACATCTTCAGAAAGGTTTACAAGACCAGAGTCATTGTGAAATCACACCCTGAACTCGTTCTGTGGGAGCTGCATCTAGAGAGCAAAAGTAGAAGAATGAAGACCAGACACAGTGGTGAAGGGCTGGCAGGCCGGCAAGCACTCTTTACAAAATTTCGGGTGAGCATTCGTAACATGATATGGTGGGGGTAGTGCTTGTTTGTTTGATTATTATTATTATTATTATTATTATTATTATATATATATATATATATATATTTTTTTTATTATTATTATAATGTAACTTGTTGCAAATCATCTCTCACTAATTTCTCCTCTCTAAGTTTGCAGTAAATGTTGAGAATGAGCTGCTTTTTGCAAACCGAGGTATCCCCGGCAGGATCTTCAAGGAACTGTGCAAGGGCTTACACTGTCGGGACTTGAAAGCACTCTCGTTGCATCACAGTGACCCTATTAATCTCCTCATGCTATACAGACAGGCCAATGAGAGGTCACCAGGAGCAATGAAGCTTCAGGTAGTGTACTAAGGAATTTGTTTTAACTTTCTATTTTGATCCCATATATTTATTTAAAAAAATTATTTTGATACCCTGTATTTATTATAGTATTTTATTTTGATATCCGGTATTTGTTTATTATTATTTATAATTTATTTTATTTTTTTTTTAGTTTTATACCTTTTATTTATTTTAACATTTTATTTTGATGCTCAGTGTTTATTTAAACATATTATATTATGATTTATGAATTGATTTTTCTAATTTAGTGTCTTATATGATTTAGAAGTTTATGGTGGAGCACTGAAATATAATAAAGACTTATATATACACACATATATATATTCATGTAGGTACTTATATATGTGGTCAAATATGTCTCTCTTGGGTTAATATGCAGTAAATATATAGTCTCCATTATAATGAATTTTGATGAAAAAAAAAAATGCTTCTCATCCAAACACATCTAGATTTTATCCTGCATGTTCAGTTCTTTATTGGGTTAGGAAAGCAGTTTGGATATCACTTTTAAGATGATAATGTTGACAGTAGATATAAGAAAAGCCATATGTGTTTGTGTTTCTTTTTCCTCTGTTTCTTCTTTCTCTCTTTCTCTTACATTTTAGATTATCAGGCAGTCACAGTATCAGACTTTGTCTTCCTGTGCTTGCATAACCACCCATTTCATCAGCCTTTTTTCTCAATGTAGGTATGTTTTACTCCAGGCTAGGCCCTGTATGAACTTACCCATGAACTGAAAAGTCAAGGAAGGAAATTCTTGCACACAGGCAGAAATTGTATAGTATTCAGAAATGTACTCAGCAAATGGACAAGAGATAGTGTACAATTTTCAATTTGCTGTGGTAAATTGTTTCTCATTAGACATTAAGAAGTTATTTGAGGTTGATGCCATCTGTCACCAGATTATTAAGAAAAAAAAATACATATTTTTTACTACTGGCATGCAAGTGGATGTGGCATGTAAATTAACCCGTAAAATTTTGATGTGGCCTATTTTGGCCTCTATTTGCCAGATAAGATGATCCCTTAAAATAAAGCAGCTTCACTTCCCCAGCCTTTTGTATGGAAAGAAAGAAAAAAGTACAGTATCTTGTAAATAATCCAAGGACAATTTTCTTCTCAAACACTTTAGTCACAAGTGTGTTCTAACACAGAGTAAACCAGCCTAACTTAGCTTGGCCTATAGTTAAGTCATTGGTGTTATTGTAATATCTACATTTAACAGACACAAAACATGAGGAAATAGCTAACTGTGGGCTGCAAGAGTTATGGGAAGTGGTGTACAGCAAGTGTTAGACAGGCAGTTTCACTTATTTACTCCTTGCTGGGAAAGGATAACGTTTTATATTCAGTGCACAAGTCAGCTCCTGGTTTTGGAGAGAGATTTTTAGGCTTCAAATGTCAACTTATACATTGGGTATGTACCATACATAGATTTGAAATAAGTATTCTTGAATACACTCTAACCACCTGTCTGTTTGTACATTTTTTTTTTTTTTTTGTGTGTGTGGGGGGGGGGGGGTGTAGGTGAGTTTGGGTAAGTAATAGATATGTACAGTAGTAATAAATTTACTTCATCTCATAATCAGTCCTGTATTAGAATAAGCAATTTCAAGCCCTTCAATACTGTATATACATACTCTTAAAGATGCCTAATTATACAGCCCTTATAGTCTGTCCAGTTTGCATATATAGGAGGCTACACACCCTTTGTAGTGTCATAGACAAACAACACACAGCGGAAGTCATCACTTGGCGTCTAACCCACAAGCTGAAAATGTCTGTCAATAACATTTATTTCACAATAAAAGAACCTCTAATGCCTTTAATGCTGCAGTAATTTTGTTTATTTTTTTCCTCAATATGGTTGAGAATTTGCCTGTGGAAAATATATGAAATGATAAGGAGAGGCTATAATTTAAAAATTAGAATAAGTATAAGTAAAGGGTTGCTGAAAATGTGAACATCACTCTTTACTCATCACTCATTTTTCCAACAATTATGAAATCCTTTTTAACTTTTTAAGCTTCTATTTGCTTCCTACCAGTGGTGGGAGACTGTGGGATGCAGATGAAACCTTTGTTTCCATGGAAATAGAAAATCTGATTGTAACTTAAACTCTCTGATCACAGATACAGGTATTAATATGATTACTAGTACATAAGAAACAGTTATAAATTGATGAATAAGCAAATTCCATGTGAACTCAAGAAAAAGCAAATTCCATAACTCAAAAGTTTGAGTTGAATTAAAACAACAGCACAATAGTCTCCAAGTCTGTCAACATATAATCAGATCAGTAGCAGTAACAGCTCAAGACCAAGATGTTAGGCAGTCTCAGCTCCCTGAATTGATGAGGATTTTCTAACACATTAATACTGGCAGTACTATAATAGGTGAAAAGAGGCTCTTGATAGTATTCTGACAATCTCGTGCTGTAGACACAATGCCAAATAGAAGAAATACAGCCTGTGGAAGGAAGCAGGGTCATCTGGTTTTATTTTGAGTGAATGAAAAAAAGCTAATGGTGTTGAGGTCGAGATGCTAGTAATTCGACCAGGATATTGAGGGAAATGTTTTCAATTACTTTAGAATTATTTTACATGGTCATATATAATTTCTTCCCATTTAATACTTCTTGAGTAAAAACATTTAAAAAATCAGAATCCATTTATTTATTTTATTATATCAATATTATTATTATTATTATTTATTATATCATTATTATTATTTTTTTTATTATAATTTTTTATTCATTTATTTTTTTCTAGTCTGATTTTTTCCCTACCCTTGTTTCTGGAGTTATGATATGGGCATGAAGTGATTTTTACTATGATATTCTTGATGATATATTTTTGATCTATGGTATGTCAGTCATGTTCATATTTGAACAGTAGAATTATGAGAACCTATTATAAATAGTAGATTTTTTACAGGATTGATTCTTTTTTGCTAATTCCAAAGTGAATGATACAGTTATACAATATGAAGTAATGTTATAAATATTTTGTTTTGCAGTACCAAGAAAAAATGATTTCGAGAATGGAGCAGATCCTCTCTGGATTTTCCTTAAGTAATGAAATAGAACCAGAGACTGACATTGCCAAGGAAATCCACCTCAAGCTCGGCTGCAAGACAGATGAGATTCCTCGCATCAGGAAGATCACGGCCGAGGTGGAGGACGTGCCTCTCAAGACCAAGGTTTGTAGTTGCAGGTTTTTCATACATATTGCATAGGAAATTTTTGGTTGTGCCATTTTCACAAGGCCTGTGGTTATTAGCTGATGTTTTATGTTTTTTTTTTTTTTTTTTTTTTTTTTTTTTTTTTTTTTTTTTTTTTTCATAATGTGCTTTTGTCAGGTACTCCATTTTCACAAGGACTAGAGTGAGTAGGTGGCTTTACAAAATTGTAATTATATCCAGATGACTTAAGGAGTTCTAGGAAAAAAAAAAAAATTTCTATCCATAAGTAAGACATCCTCTGTAGACATTGAATGTGTCCATTAGTTTGAATTTTTATTAATCTTCATAGTAGAACTTACCTTTATTTTATTGTTATTGTTATTATTATTTTTTTTTTTTTTTGGGTGGGGGTGGGGGCTGTGATAGATTCTAACTTACTCAGGAGTGATAATATTTCATAGATAGAAAAATAAATAGTAATCATTAAGAAAATTTATTAGCTTCAGAAAGAGTGTGTTACAAACCTTTTCAAATGGTTATTCAAGAATGTGAAAGTTTCTGTAAGGCTGTTAGGTTTAAATGTGCTCAGGGGGAGGTGGAGACATGTTGCATAATAACATGGTAGAAGGTAATGTAACCTCTTCTGGACAGCTATATTGACAGTTGAGTTTTAGACCCAGTACAATTGTATAGTACAATCTCAGGCTATGTGGGCACATATAAGGATCATACCCACCAATCATAGGTGGAGGAGGTCTGTGAGACTTCCTCCAAAGTTTGGGCTCGGGGAGATTGACCTGTTGTGAGGAGCTAGAGATTGGCTGAGGCCCTGCCTGGCAGCTATCCTTGAGAGACCCTTGTAAGTGGATGTACAGGGTGGATGTGGCTATGTGCCCCTGTCAGAGTTAGGTCCCTAGTGATGAGACTTGGACTAGACTATAGCCATCAACTGGTTAACTCTTAAATGATGCAGCAGTAATTGCATGGCTGAGGAATTTGAAGAGAATAATAAAAACTTTTGGAAGGAGGTTAAGCATTTAACCCAGTGCCGATGGGCATGGGGTGTATGTACATGCTATGGTCACTGTGAGTTACTTTTTTTACTCATAGATGGCTACACTTGTACTAAGTCACCAATGAGCCAATTACGAGTACTGCCTGTCTTGTCCGTTTACCCTTTTCTTTGATTTACAAAAATATTTTAGGTTATCTTATTTTGCTGTTACTAAGGTTTAAAACAGTATAATAATTATAATGTTTATTATAAAAATAACACCATTGATATTCATAGCACTAGTAAAAAATACGTTTTTCATGCCAATTCAAATCAGGTAAGGTCACAAGGTCTGCTAATTGACTCCTTTGTGGCTAAGCACTAGCAGAGCCATCAGTGTGCAGAGACATTTCACAAAAATTTAGAAAATGAGTACAGCATTTTCCCCATTTTTTATTCGTCTTCCCTGGCGGCTTTGGGTTAAGGGGTGATAATGATATAAGAGAGGGTACAATAAAAGTTGGAAGTCATTTAACATTTTAAAAGTTCAGTCTCAACAGAAAGGCACATTTGACTTGTGTGGCTCTGATGAGTGGGTGTGGATGAGTACAATAAGGAATACATAATTTTCTGCAGCATCAACATCATTGGTCATTATCAGTGTATGGTTTTATTATATGTGCTGTCTTATAAATTTGTTTCAGTAAGATTTTCAAAATGTTAATGCTATTGTCTTATATATAGGTTTTATATAATTTTGCCATTGATTTTCTGGTGCATTGCCAAGTTTGGAATATAAGATTTTGCAGTGAGTCAGATGTTAACTTTCACTGACAATACCAATTCGGACCATCACCCCTAATGGACGGGTCACGTGTACAAGCGTCATAACACACTGCTTGGTCTGTGTGTTATGGTTGTATGCGTGGTGACAAGGGTTTTACGTGCCTGAAAATCTCAAAACATGAATGTCTTAGTGTCTTAGCACTAACTCATTCTGAGGTGTGGGAGCGAAGCTCTTAAGAACTACACCTGTGGAATTCCAGGAGTGGGTGGCAGAGATGGAATCATCCCTAAATGATTGCCTGAGATTTAACCTCAGTTGAGCCATCTGGGTAGAGGGTTGTAACATCTCTTTGTGTCAAGATGATTAGGGATGAGCTGAAGTGGAAGTGGCCACACTTTCAAAGATAAGACAATTAGCAGCAGTGCACTTAGTGAGGATAGATTCGCCAGTTACTGGTCGGGATACAGTGATCACCATCTCCAGGGGGTAGCAATCTCCAGCTTATGGAGTGTAAGGAGCTAAAGTTCAGGAACATGCTGGTATTTAGTTTCAGGCACTTATTTGGCATTATGTCTGTATACACTCCTACTAACATAAGGAAATTTGATTCTAAAGAAGTGTCCTACACTAAATTAGCTCATGTGGCAGATTGCTGTCCTTGCCAGGATATGCATACTGTTCAGGATGCCTTCAAGCATTAATAAAGCTGCTATGAGAAGTCTGGCTCAGGAGCTAATTCCAGTAATGAGACATTCTCCTCCAGGACTTTGTGTGATCGCAGAGGTTGAGGATTTCAGGCACCTGGTACTAGTGCTCCAACCTGCATTGCAGGACCTGGTACTATGATGCAGGGAATGTGACTTGGATGGACCACACCCTCATTATCACTTATTGGAGGATCCTCCAGAACGGAAAGCTTTACTAAAGTTCAGACTTTAGTGACAGATATAATTGGTACCACTGATTGATTGTGGTTGCATACCAGGCCCACTGCAAAACACCAGTGACCACTCTAGGGTGTTTCACATGAACAAATTGAATGAAGACATTTGTTCCTGTGGGTCAACCATGGCTGTCTTTAATATTTTCACCACACTCATCAACCCGGTGGACCACCTTCCGATGCAGCTTAGGAGTCCATATTTAACTGATTGAGAACAAGACAGAACTTTATCTCACAGGAGATGCAAAAGGCCATATATGTGTCATGTTACCAGGAGTTGCATTGATCACTGGCACATAGAAATCGGTCACTGTCAGAGGTAATATATTAGTAAATGACCTTTTTACCTAACAAGCTGAGAGAAAGCTGAAATCAAAGCCCTCCCAACAGAGGATTACAGGTTGCTCAGTAGATGGTCAGATTGGGCTAGATATTTTGAGTAACTGTTGAGTTAACTGTTGAGATACTGACATTTAGCATAGATGTGGGTGTTGTGATTCCTATTATGTATATGAGGCTAACACATAAAGTTCCAACTAGTTTTATATTTTGTGTCAGGGTATCACTAACAATATATTTAAGTCTCCCACACAATGTAATATCTACATTACTAATACTCTGTCTCTCATATAAGCTACTAATTAACCTGTTGGATCCGGGAGCCTCACAGCCTGCACATAGACTAAAATCAGGGCATTTGGCTAGTTTGAGTGCGTCTCTCCCAAGTGTGTGGCTTGCAGTTGTGCCCCACATTAATGCCTTGCATTGCTCTTTTTCTGCATAAGTCTGTTTGTCATTTGATAAGCTGTATCAAGATGGTAATAGACTGATTTGTTGATCAGACAACATATTATCAATAGGTAATCTATATGATAACAATAACATTGAGTAACATTGTGTTATTTGTGTCATGTTTAATTTACAGAAAATTATTAAATTTTCTGTAACACACTCAATATTGCTAGTCATAGGATTCTGAGTATGAAAATAGTATCCTTACATTCCTATCACACCGGCCCTCAGCTAGATTTTTCCATGATGGCATATTCCTGTCATCCAGCCCTCAGCCAAATTTTTTCATAGCATGAAGTTGTCATGTAACCCAGATCCAATGGGTTAAAGGAAGAGCGCAGGTGAAGAAGGCATATGATATATCTGGATGACATGACTATCACGTCATGAAAATATTTAACTTGAGGGGTGGGTGACATGATCATGCCATTGTGGAAAAGATTAGCTGAAGGCTGGGGTGAAGGGGAACCTCCAGTTACGAGAATTTCTTCTGAAGTTACTCACCATGAGTGCACAAAGCTCTTGGAAGGTAATTAGCCTCATTGGGGTATTTAGGAAGGGGCTCTTGCATTAATTCCATAAATAAAGGAATGTACCATATATTTCCATGTTCAGGATCCAATTTTTGCCCACCATGACCGGTGGCACAGGTTGCATTATAGAAAATTGAATATTAAGAAAAGATAAAAAAAAAATGGCACAAATAACAAAATATTATAAGTTTTGACCTACCTAGGATGATATGGAGTCTGCACAAGAAGAACAGTTTATTACCATCTGAATAAAGCAAATCAAATGACAAATATAGACATTGGAAAATGGTAAAGAAAGCTAAAGAGACATATTTAGATATAGAGAAAATAACGCAAGACTCCTTGCCTATCCTGTGCAATGTTTTTATTTCTCTTTTCTGCATAAGTGTATTTAGTTTTTTGCCATTTTCCAATGTCTATATTTATCATTTGATATGCTATATCCAGGTGGTAATAGAATGTTTTCCTAACACAGACTCTATATCATTTCTTTAAATATTCCATTACTCAGTGCAATAATAATACCAGTAAGAAACACTTTGTTAATTGTGCCTTTCTCTTCTTCTTATTATTATTATTATCATTATTATTATCATTCTTTGTAATATTCAGTTTTCTGTAAAACAGCCTGTGCCACTGGTACTGGTGGGTAGGAATAGGATCCTGAGCATGGAAATGGCATTCTCCCTGGAGCCAGTGCTCTTCTAGTCATGGCTCTCGATTGGTACATTCCACACTTGCTTATTGCTTATACTAAATGCCTACTCAGTCTAATCACTTGCAAAGAGCATTGTGCACTCATAGTGAGTCATTCACATCACCTAGGCCTTCAGTTGAAATTCTAATGATGGCAAGTTCGTGTCACGCTGACTCTCAGCCAGATTATTTCATGACATGGTTGGGACATCATCCGTAACATAGGGGTTATTGTGACACTCATGAATCACAAGTGTTAATCAAACACAACGATCCCAGCACCTGATCTGCCCACCGTTGATGAACCTTCCCTACCCAGATAGAAATTTAGGAGGCAGTCTCCAAGATGAAAGAAAACCAAGCAACAGCTATGGTCATTCCTCTATGGAAGGAGAATAGGGATTGCTGGGACTGCAACAGTCATCAAGGCATTAGATTGCAAGGTGCTTGCTCTCATTTTAAGACATATCAGGGATCACCTACTGAGGCACCAGAGACTGGGGCTATCAGGATTCCCTTTGGGCAAATCCACAATAGAATGTATTCTTGGATTTCATGTCTATGTAGAGCTCAGTCATGAGTTGCTTACAATTGACATTGAGCTCAAGAAGATATTTGACTGTGAAATCATAAATTGCTTATCGGCACTCGCATGGAATAGATAAGTTATCCAGAACCAGCTTAGGTCTATTGATTAAGTATCTTTGATAATGCATTTTCTTTAATTTTTTGTTATGGAATGTCACATTCTAAATAGCCCCAGTGTATGGGGCTATTTAGATAATGCATTTTCTTTAATAAGGACTTTTTAACATTTTTTTTTGTGGAATGTCACATTCTAAATTGCCCCAGTGTATGGGTATGTGTCATTCTGGATGATTGGGTGTGTATATGTATGTATGTGTTTTCTCAGGTTTCTCAGTCCCCTCTGCTAAGAAATACATTCGGGTGTTTTACGGGAAGAACCTAACCTTTGTGTATGAAATGTACTTCAGTTCCTATTTTTGTAAGTTTCAATTAAGCTAGAAGTAACAAAATTAAAACATTGAACTCAAAGGGGGCTGTCCTACAGGGAAGTGAAAGTTTGGGTTGGGAGAATCAGTGTTGAGAATTGAATATTATTGGTATACAGGGAAGATATATAGAAAATTTAGAAAAGTTCAGTATATAAGAATGCAATATTAATATGAAACCAATTTACAAAGTGAAGCAGATTTGTTATATATTTACCTCTGCCAAGGAGGTTATGTTTTTGACGGCGTTGGTTTGTTGGTTTGTTTGTTTGTTAGCAGTGTAGCTCAAAAAGTGCTGGCCGGATTTCATCGAAACTTTGGGGACAAGTCAGAAAGGGACTAACTTAGAACTGATTAAATTTTGGTGACATTCCGAATTACCGTCTGGACGCAGCCAAAGTATATATATTATATACGCACCTTGGTGGAGGTCTGCACTCTCTGAGTGTTTTTCTAGTTATTTATTTATTTATTGAAAATTTTCTGCCCCCAGGTAATGAAGTTTTTTGGTTCAATAGGGCAAAGTTTGTGGATTTTCAAAATGGCTAATGGTCATAACAAATGTGCCAGACAACACAAATCATATAGCATTATGATAAAGTATGGTGGCAGAAAGGGTAAAAATGAGTTAATGATTAGGATAAGAGGACAGAAGAAGGGGATGAAGAAGAGAAGGAAAAGGAAAGGAGCAGAGGAAAAGACCATGCAAAATTAGTTGAGACGAGGGCTTACGACCAAGGCAGGGGATGATTCTCAACATTTACCCCCTTTCCACAAGCTTGGGTAGGCTTGTGGAAATGCACAAAAAAGGAGTTTTATACAAAAATGAATAAGAACTGATACTCCTAAGTCTGTCTGTCTGATATCCTTTAAAATTTTGAGGTCTACCATGCATCCAAATTTTACATTTTATAGTCTAGTTAAATGCATATGAAATATCCAACAGTATAGTTCTCATTTATGTCCATTAATTTACTTAAATGCCCATAGATGTTAGAGGTGTCTATGTTATGAACCTTTTTTTTTGTTTTCTTTCTTCAGATTGCAGAACTGAAAGGCTTCAGATTGAAGAACGTCGACATAGAATTGTCTGGTGCCTCCACTTACCATGTGTATGTGTACCTGGCAGAAATGGGCGTCATCAAGAACATTCCAAGATGGGTGACTGAAACCAGAGAGAAGGGGAAGACCCATTGCAAAGCCAAGTTCTCCTAGTGGCTGTCCATTTGCCTTTCTTATTGATAGCCTTCACTGCCAAGACCAATCAGTACGAGCTCTTAACAAGTGGAGTAATGCAGTCCAGATTTTAAGATTTTCTTCTTCATACTTTCCTTTATTTCTTTTGTTATTACTATCTTCTTTTTTTATCATTATTATTTCTTGTAAAGTGCTTTTTTTTTTTTTAAGGCAACTGTTACTCAGAGAAATATGTATTGCATCAGCTCTGTATCCCAACTAGAGCAGGTTTCATAATGTTTTGTATGAACTCTCTTTAGCATTTTTTTTATGATTAGTGAAGGAATGCTAGAGATTTTCCTCACACATTGGAGCCTTCGTTGCTTTTATGTGAATGTGACTTTTAATTTCTGTCTCTGGGTAATTAGGAGTGGTTATGGACTTGATTTTTTTCCTAAAATATCTTCTCTTCAGATAAACACTTTTATAGTCATTCATTTCAGATTTTTAAAAATTTGGAGGTGAACATTTTTTGGAAAAGAATTATATTTTTAGCATGATTTTTATGTTATTTTACAATTTTTCAATTTTACATTTGAAAATCGCAGTTACTGTACAAGAGCTGTATGATATAATCACAATGCATTTGTCATACAAAAACAGATAAACAAGTAATTGGAATGCATCACTTGTGTTTAACAGTTTGGTGAAAAAGAACTAAGGAAATGGATGATTTCTTATCTTCATTTTAGATTAGTATGTACAAATATGGTTCTATATCATTGTATAGCAGTTCTCCCTTCCATGTGTGTATTGTTTGTATCACTGTTTTTTTTTATACAATATTTTTAGAATGGAAAGAAAGTATTTCTTGTATATTTTTGATATGATCATACTATCCATTAAGCATTTA